AAAATTCATATTAGTGGTCTGCGGGATTTAAAATTATGAGTTTGGTGGTCCCTGAGGTCCAAAAGTTTGGTGACCCCGATCTAAAGGGGTGAGCCTGAGAGAGAAAGAGAGAGAGAAAAGAAAGAGAGAGAGAAAGAGAGGAAGAAAAGAAAGCCGTGAGAGCTTCCTGATAGTCTTGACCATGTTTCATCCACAAAACCTTTAATAGAAGCCAAAGAGATTTCAATGTGCTGGCAAAGATGTTTCAATGTGGAAAAGGGCCTCAGTCTAAACTAGGCCTCGTTCAATCTGATGCATCAGGTCTCTCTCTCTCTCTTTCTCTCTCTCTCTCTCTCTCTCTCTCTCCCTCCCTCCCTCCCTCCCTCCCAGACTGGCTTTGCTCTACTTTCCCGATGTGCCTGCAGGGCCAGCGCTTCGAACATGGATGGATGGATGGATGGATGGATGGAGAGAGAGAGCGAGAGAGAGAGAGAGAGGCAGGCAGATAGATATATTAATAGATGATAGATAGATAGATAGATGATAGATAGATAGATAGATAGATAGATAGATAGATGATAGATAGATAGATAGATAGATAGATGATAGATAGATAGATAGATAGATAGATAGATAGATAGATAGATAGATCTATATTGGTAGGTAGGTAGGTAGGTAGATAGGCAGGAAGGCAGGCAGGCAAACAGATAGAACTTTTGGATGGATGGATGGATGGATGGATGGATGGATGGATGGATGATGGACGGACAGACAGAATGCGATAGCGGCAGCACTTTGGGAAAGCGATGGCGGCGGCTTTTTCCAATATGCTGCCGCATTTGAGGCGCCAGTTCCAGTGCGGTACAACAGTCAATGGGGTGAGCATGCAGGGCCGGCGCCTTGAATGCCCCCCTGCCACCTCTTAGTGTCCCCAAGGGAGTCGGCAGAGGGGCACTAAGAGGCAGCAGGGGGGCATTCGAGGCACCGGTTGGCCCTGCAGATTCACCCATTGACTGTAGCACCGCTCCAGAGCCGGCGCTTCAATGGGTGAAACTGCAGGGCTGGCCGGCACCTCGAACGCCCCCCTGCCACCTCTCAGTGCCCTCTGCTGGCCCCCTTGGGGATGCTAAGAGGTGGCAGGGGGCAGCGCATTGAATGCGACCGCAGCAGCAGATAACGTGCCACTGCTTCCGCATTGGAGGCGCCGGCTCCGGAGCAGTGCTAGTCAATGGGTGAACCTGCAGGCTGGCACCTTGAATGCCCCCCTGCTGCCTCTTAGCATCCCCAAGGGAGCCGGCAGAGGAGCGCTAAGAGGTGACAGGGGGGCAGCACGTCGAACGTGCCTGCAGCGGCACCAGCTCCAGAGCAGTGCTACAGTCAATGAGTGAACCTGCAGGGCCGGCGCCTCGAATGCCCCCCTGCCGCCCCTCTTGCCTCTTAGCACCCCCCTAAGGCATCCCCCCCCGGGGGCGATACCGCCCACTTTGGGAACCACTAGACTAGATGATCCCTGCAATCCATCCCACCACTATGATTCTGTGGAAGTATAAGCAAATGTCATGTTAATAGTGAGCTGGTAGAGACATGGATGCACTTTAGTATGCAAATGATGTTATATTGTTGGCTAAAAGCATGAATTATATGCAGCAAATGTTAGACTACATGATGCAATGAGGAGCATGGCTCTGAAAATTAATGTATCAGAGACCAAGGTAGTTGTATTTGACAGAGAAAATTGAGTCAACAATTGCACTTTATACATAAATTAAACAAAAATTAGAAGTAGACGAATGTGCGTGCTTTGATCATCTTTCCCTAAAGATAAGAAAAAGGATGGATAAACTTTCAGGGACATATGTTCTGGTAGAAAAACAATGCTCTCTCTCTCTCTTTGCTCTGTGGAATGCATTTCTTGTCAAAAGGTTCTGCTCATTTTCTCAGAAATCTCATTTTCTGTGGAAGGAGAGCTGGACAAGTCAGAAGAAACTTGAAGGAAAAGAATCAGTTACTTGAGCAGTGTGTGTATGCGTGGGTGGATAAAAAAGAAAAAAAAGTTGTGTCAAGAGTGGGTGGATGTAGGATGAATGTGGACTCAATGGAAAGTGACTGATATTGAGGCAGTGGCCTTTTATGCTTGTCAGTCCATCTTTATTGTTCCCTACCTAAGTTACAAGACTCTCCCAAACTTCTCCTGAGAATGAGCAGATAAGGCTTCATGGATCTTGGGAGAAGTCAAATTTATGTCACATGCAGCTGTGCAGTGACTGCAAGCTAGACCTTGCTTGACTTCTCAACAATACTGGACAAAAATTGTCCAGTATCCCCTCCCTTTTTGGGGAAGGTGATCAAGAAAAGATGGTTGCAAAGCAGCTTCAGAGGACTTTAGAGAAAGCAGATTATCAGGATCTCTTCCAATTAGCATTCAGAATAATTGAATAGGGTGGAAACACATTGGTCATGTTTTTGCATGACCTCTGGCAAGAGAAGGATGAGGGTTGTACATCCGTTCTTGCCCTGTTTGACCCCTCTACAGTTTTCAGTTCCTTCAACCTTTTGGTTAAGCTCAGAGGATTGGAGGTAGGTGTCACTTCCTTTATCTGAAGTCAATTATGGTCAGTGTTGACTGGGGAGGAGAGATATCCAAACACTGGCCTAGATATACTACAGGCAAACAAGCAGTAATTACAGCAGGGAAGAACACACACACACACACACAGATGCCCTAACAGGGCCTCTTCTTATTATACAGGCTCTTAAAGGGATAACAGTAAAAAAAACACCTTGCTGACTCATTCCCATCATTACATAATTGCGTAATCTGATCAGTTCTTAAATCACTATCCTGACAAGATGTTAAGAGATAAAGAGCTTATTGAAAGAAACCAAGTATCTAGGTAGCTCTATTCATAAGCAAATAGTCCTCGCTCAAGATCCAAACCAGGACAAAGCCATTAAGCCATAATAGGAATTACCCAACACCATTTCAGAACACATGCCTCTTCATTGCATCACCACCACCAAACTTCAACCAAACCTGGTACTCAGACAACCTATGGAGCCAACGGTGACACCCCCCCCCCACATAACCCTACATGGCCCCATGGGAGTCTGACAACAGCCAATAGAATACATGTTCTTGCACAGGAACAGGGAGCTCAAGTGCAAAGCCCAAGAGAAGGTATAAATACCCTTTACTCTCAACTCCATGTAATCAGCTGCCCAGAATCACATGTGCTTGGTGGTTCTGCTTCATCAATAAATGGACCCTCATTCCAATCAGCCTCCAGCCTCCATTTTGTCTCCAGTGCCTTTCTCCTGGCTGGGAGCTGAACCAGTTGGATATTTCTTCCAACAGTGCTAAATCCAGTTCATGAACCCTGTTCCATGAGCCCTGTTCATGTTCTGGATGATCTCAAGACCTGAATAGGTCATGGGGACTGGGGACTGGTTAAACCTTGATACAGCTCCATGGTTACCCTTCACTCTCTCTTATATTTTGTCATGCCCCTGTCAGAATCTGAATCCAAGGAGGAAGATGAACAGCTGACAGGGAATGGGAGTGTGGTTCTGTTAGCTGTAGAGGAAACTGGGGAAGGGCAAAGTCCGACTGGGCAGAGCAGGGAAGAGGTAGAACAAGGGAGAGGGAGTTCGGAGGAAGACCCAGGCCCACCCCGTCTTCATCCTAGGGCATGCAGGGAGGAACGGAGAAGAGAGCAATGTGGGTTGCATGGCTTATGGGGGAGGAAAGGCCCTGATTCCCTTCATTAGCCACACTTGGGAATGAGAGTTTAAAAGAAATGCATGCTGAGTACTGCAGCTGCTGGGAGCAAACGTGAGTTTATCTTGCGTTGTCTTTGCTTATCTGTGTTCCTGGCATCTTTCCACCTGTGTGAGTTTTGCCATGCCTTCACATCTGGAATTCTTGCTCCTGCTCTGCCAAACTAATTACTTCAGTTTGGCTTGATTGGACTTAAAGTTACAGTTTTTGTTGACCATGTTTTGGACTTGATTCCCTGCAGCCAAAGGGAGCGTTTTTCTCCTGCCAGAAGGTAACCTGGACACTGGGGGCAAAGTTGGGGCTATTAAAGGGACTCTTATTGATTATCTGACTGTGTTGCCTTTGTGCCACATGCCGGGTCATCACATATCTTGTGTTTTTAGCAAACATTTTAATAACAACTGTGTTTTATATATTTATTTTTAATGCATTGTTGAATGCTGCCCCTTTTTTGTGAGATGGGCAGCTATATCAATTTGAGGAATAAAACAAGTAAGCCAGCATGGCCTGAATCCAGCTGCAGGAAACCTTGCATGCAAGCTCCCACACAGCCCTCCCTCTCAACCATTGGCTTTCTGAGATGACACCAATTTTTAGCTTATTCAATCCCGTTACAAACAATGAACTGATTTAGGCCATAGCAGCTTTCGGCAGTCCAATCCTCCCCCAGCCTGGTGTGAGAGCTTTGCTTGCTTTCTCAGCTAAGTAGTTGTGCGTCCGTGTGTGATTTCTGCACACCTACACACACACACACACACACACACACATACTGCAGCCCTCTTCTGTCCCTGGAGAGGCTACTTAGACAACTCTCTTCTTCCTTTTAACAAGCAGCAAGATGCTGGGCTGGCTGAGTAATTCTACTCTTCTCGTTCAGGGAAGGAAATCCTGCTTCTCCATCACCAAGCCAACTGAAAGTTCTCTCTGCAACACTCTCACCCCCTCTCTTTCTGACCCCTTCCTAAATTTATAGGGCAGGCAGGCGAGGGGAACTATTTATTTTTAGGAATGCAGTCAGGCTGAGGTCTTTTGAATCAGATTTGCTGTTAATTGATTTCTGCTGTAGCAACAGCCACACCCTCACCCTGGTTTCTGAACTCTGCTCTCTCAGATTTGTCTGAGATGGGAAAAGCAGTCCGACAACACGTGCCGAGCATAGGCAGTCTCGTGAAGGGGTCTTGCGGACAGCTGACTTTTAGAAATGGCTGTTAAAGGTTGTGGGAAACCACCCCACCCTCTCCTAGAAGAATGAAATATTTTGAGGAATATTAAAAAGGGCAGATTATTATATTTCCCCAAAGGGAGAAATGAAGAAACATGTTTTTTTTTAGAGACAGTAAACAACCCCTACTTTCCTTAATAGCCTCAGCAGATACTGAGGCCAGCTTTTAGAAATGCAGATTTGGTAATCCATTCAAGACAGGATATTTTGAAATAAAGGCAGAATGGTAGCATTAGAAGCAGCCCCTCATTCAAGATCCAACACAGGACAAAAGCCATTAAGCCACAATATGAATTATTGCATCACCCTCAGATCAGTTCAAACTTTAAACAAACTTAGCTCAGACAAACACCTAGGATTTGTACTTTGCCTATAGAGCCAGCTATGATCCCTACATGGTCCCATGGGAGTCTGACAACAGTCAATAGAATACATGTTCTTGCACAGGAACAGGAAGCTCAAGTGCAAAACCCAAGAGAAGGTATAAAAACCCTTCACTCTCAACTCCATGTGGTCAGCTACACAGAACCCATGTGGTTCTGCTTCATGTCTTTCTCCCGGCTTGGTACTGAACCAGATGGATATTGTTAAAGTATATTCATGAACTGGAATAGAGCTTGGTAACAAGGTCAGCCAATGAATAGGCATAGCAACTAAGTCAGCCAATTGTTTCAGTTTGGAAACTGAAACTAGAAGTAGCCTAGGTGTGGCTCCATATTAAGCTCTGCAGCTCTGCAGCTATGTTGAGCTCTGAGTCTGTCTATTGAAAATGAAACTGCTTCTCTCCTATTGCTTGCCTGCAGAATTAAGTGAAACTGATGTCTGTTTCTGAGCTCCTGAGTTCCTACTGAAGTTACTCGCAACATGTTTCTGTCTGAGTTTGCTCCATGTTGGAGAAATCTGGTTTGTAAAAACTACTTATTATGTTTATAAAGATGTTAAATGAAGCATCGGCAATCTGTGCTTATTTTTTTGGCACTGAATTAACGCTGCAAAACTCTGAACAGATATTTCTTCCCACAAGGTGGAACCTGAGGCAGAAGGAGCGGGAAGGGCAAGAGAAGGCGGACAAGCTCACTGCGAAACGCCCACTTGGCAGTTTTGCTAAAACTTCTTCCCAAGTGGAAGACGCTTCTGTTTGTTTCCTCAGCTTGAAAGTGCCTTTCAGGTTCTCTCTGGGGTGCTTCCAATGCTGCTAGAGATATCAAAGAAGAGGACTACTGCAGAAGCCAACTTCTGTGGCGCATCCTTGGCTGATGAGATTTCCCGAGGCAAAAAAGGGTGGGGGTTCCTTGGAGCAGTTTCCTCCTGAAATCTCTCCTTGGGATGGAATGGAAATGTGGAAAGCCAGGGAGGCTATAGGTTGTGGAGTGAGGACATCCCGTTGCATGGTTTCTCCTCCATTGCAGCTGCCCCTATTCCCCATTGCAGAAACTGCCCCCTCAACTCTGCTTTTGGGGTGAAGAGTGGGTGATGTCAGACCTTCCATGCACCTGCCTTGCTTAGCTACATGCCAAGTTGTCATAAATAACAGGGAGAGCTGTGGGGTGGGCGAGGGGGATGAAGCAGATGAAGAAAGGAAACACATCTAGAGTTCTGCAACCAGTTTTAGTCACCACATTATAAAAAAAGACGCTGAGACTCTTTTAACAGCCATGGCTGTGGAAGGCTTTCTCTTCTATTGAACAAGATGGGATGGCTGACACGTGGCAATCCAAGAAGCTAAAGAAAGGACTATTTTCAGGGAAAGATGTGACTTTTGCACACTTGTCTTGGTCCCCTCATTGCTAAATACAGGGATGGTATCCAACCGGTATAACTACCAGTTCTGTTTCTCTGCGTTGCACGCACATGCGTGAGTCACGTGAGTCGCACGAGTGTAATTTATGACCTGCTGAGCTGCCCAGATAGCTGAGCAGCACTGTGTGCAAGTGCACAGTGGTTGGAAAAGCCCCTTTTTCCTGCTTTTTCAACCACAGCTGTGTCATGCAAAGCAGCTGTGGTTGAAAAAGCAGAAAATAAAGGTCAGGTAAGAGCCCAGGCGGGTGGGTGGGCCAAAACAGCAGCAGACATAGAACCGGTTCTATGTATGCTCTCTGTTTAGTGCTTTTCAGAGCAACTGATTCTATAGAAGTGGACAGAACCGGTAGAATCCCACCCCTGGCTAAATACCTACCTAAGTACCAATAGACCTTCAGATTCCAACTATAAGAATATCACTGCCGTTTTCTTGCTTGGAAGAGTTTGGAAAAAAAAATTTCCAATACTAAATAGAAGTTATTAGGGAAAGATTGCCAGTGGAGTATTTTGTTTAAGTTTGTCTTCTAAGTCCAAGATGATACAGACTCTGAATTCAAATCTGTTAAACACACATTGACTGAAGATGGGGAAAAAAGTAGGGTTTTTTTTGGGAGGGGGTGGGAAGAGTGGAAAACATATTCTGCAGCTGATTCATCAAGTTCCATCTCAGCTACTGGTCCCCATAATGGTCACACTGAGGCTCCTGGGAAATCCCATAAATTGAACATGAACACAGCATATACCTGCCTATCTGAGATCCACAACCACTGGCGTTATAATGTTGATGTGAGCCTCACTTTTTAAAGAGGGGGAACACCACATTTGATCCATCTCAAACTGCAAGTGAAGCCACTCAGATCTGTGATCCAAATTGGAGTCTTAGTGGACAACCACTTAAATATGAACCAGCAGTGTGCAGCCGCCGCCAAAAAAGCCAATGCAGTCCTAGGCTATGCCAGAGGAATAATATCAAGATCATGTTATTACTATTTTATACTGCTTTGATAAGACTACACTTGGAATACTGTATTGAGTTTTAGTTGCCACGATGTAAAAAAGATGTTGAGACTTTATAGAAAGAGTGCAGAGAAGAGCAACGAAGATGATTAGGGGACTTGAGGCTAAAACATACAAAGAACGGTTGCTGGAATTGGGTATATCTAGTTTAATGAAAAGAAGGACTAGGAGTGACATGATAGCAGTATTCCTGTATTTGAGGGGTTGCCGCAAAGAAGAGGGAGTCAAGCTATTCTCCAAAGCACCTGAGGGCAGGACAAGAAGCAATGGGTGGAAGCTAATCAAGGAGAGAAGCAACCTGGAACTAAGGAGAAATTTCCTGACAGTGAGAACAATTAACCAGTGGAACAGCTTGCCACAAGAAGTTATGAATGCTCCAACACTGGAAGTTTGAAAGAAGAGGTTGGATAACCATCTGTCTGAAATGGTAGAGGGTTTCCTGCCTAAGCAGGGGGGTTGCACTAGAAGACCTCCAAGGTCCCTTCCAACTCTGTTATTCTGTACTGAAATGTTTTGACGGTTTGATTCACCAAAATATATTTCTGTGCACACCTCCCCCAAAAGTCCACTGAATCATCTGATTGATTGGTATGCACTTGATTTGATAACTAAATTGACTCTGTTATTTGTTTTGAGGAGTCCATTCCAAGCTATGTTTCATTCAAATCACCTGCCAATCAACATCTCCAAATCGAAGCTCCTCACAGCCCCAACAATCACTATGATAAATAACCAAAGTCATAATTTAACTGTAGTCCTGGTGAATAAGCATTTCAATCTGCCCTAATCTCTCATAATTCTGCTTTATTGATAATGCCTAGGTTTTAGCACTTTGAGGGATGTGGGAAAATTCCCCATTGATTTCCCTTTGCGTCACAAACTTGCTATACAAATTGCTGTACAATCTTTACCTAAGCTAAATTGCAGTAACTCCATACCTCTACTCTCTAGGAAATTATTCCAGCCTTTAAATAATTTAATTTACCTCTTTCGGCATGTTTTTCAGTTCCAAAGAGCCCTACCAATATGCACTATGTATCATCTTAATATGGTGTTGTGTACACATATATAAAATAATCACACAACAGAGAGCACACCAAATTGCCCAGAGGGGACATAAGGCTTAGCTATAAAACAGACTTTTGAAAATATTCAAATAGTTAAAAGCCACAGTTGCACAACAAGGACTGCAGGGTGAGTAGATTTTTCCCCCCTCAAATGAAAAATGGAACAGGGCAAGATCATTGTACATTCGCTGAGAATACTGGGAAAAAATAGAAGTAGGTTTTTTTTCTGTCCAATCTTCCTTTACAAGGAGGTGTATTGCCTCAGTTTCAGGGTAATCTTTAACAATAGTGCTTCAAAAATGTACAATTTAATGAACAAGAGAACTCAGAATCTAGAGGAATAAAGGCTCAGTCTATCCCCAGCCCAGGTTCTGTTTAATTTCTTAACAGATACGTGGGTGCTTTTATCCTAAATAGAAGTGAGCAGTTGGCCAAGAGATCTTGTATAATCCTTGCAGGGGGTTTTCTTGGCAAATGGAATCAGGGACAAAAGATACCACGATTTCTCTTAGAAACCTTTCTTTGCTATCTCAGCCAGACCTTCCTGGAGCCCAGGGGTAAGGGCTGTGTTACACAGCAGCCTCACTCCATTGTTGTGTAGAAAACAACATTTGTACCCATTAACAAAGCATATTAGGAAGACTTTGCCATCTATCCATGAGAACAAAAATCAATTTGTGGTGCATTGCACAAAAACAATTTTAGCCTGCTGTGCACGCATAATGAACAGCGAAATCTCTCTCCAGTAAAGAGAGGCAAGGAAGGAGCCAGATAGTAACATAGAATTGTAGAATCATACTGCTGGAAGGGATCTTAGAGGTCTTCTAGTCTAACCCCTGCTCAAGCAGGAGTCCTTATACCATTCTGGACCAATTTCTTCTTGAAAACACCAATGATGGAGAAGCCACAACTGAAGCCATTCCATTGGATAACATTCTGACTGTCAGGAACTTCCTGTGTATCTTCAGGTTGGAGCTATCTTTAATGAGCTTGCACTCATCGCTTCTTGTCTTGTCCTAAGGTACTGTCTAGAATAGGTTCCCCTCCTCACCCCAATCTCTGTGATATCCCCTCAGCTCATGGAAAACAAATACCCCTAATGTCAATCAGCTGCCAGGAGAAGCCAAATTAGGAAGCTGGGGTTGCTGAGGGAAAAGGAACTGATCAGATCTGAGCCAGCCCAGGCTGGGACAAGATGGCTTGTTTATCCCCAAAAGTTATAAAGTTTTTGTTTGTTTCATTCCAGAACTGCCATTTCAAAGTTTGAAC